GATGAGAAACTAAGGTGCAGAGGAGCATCTGATTTTCACTGTGCCATGCAAAAATCCATGGCAGAGGAGGAACAGAAACCTGCTGTCCCGATGGTCAGTCCAGAGTCTTACTCAAAATATCATCTTCTGGGGTAGCAATATGGCAGGGTGGAGGCTTCATGTAGCCTGGTTCACTAGAGAAGCACTCTTGCTAGGAGTCAAAGATCAGACCTCTTTTGAAAAGTAACCAGATGAGCACTAAGAAAGACAAAAAGCATAATCGGGACCAAGGATGTATGTAGTAATGGGAAACTTTTGCCCAGAGTGACCTATACATTGGCTTTGATGGCTATATCTGTGTCGTTCTGTAGCATGGGTATGCCATTTTAGGCAGCCTGAACACTAACTCAGCAGCCACATTTGGACAGAGCTGTAGCATACAGAATGTATGATTTGCTTTAGAACAAGAATAAATCCCTCTCTAGGACTCGCCTGCTCTAAGAAATGTTGCCCCAAGAAATTGCGTGCAGGCGTGTGCATGATGTCTGCCACCCTCTCTGATGAGACCCAAAAAAACCCACTGTGTGTCATATTGTGTCTTATCCTAAACAAGAATCTGACTTACAATACTAAATGCAAATATATTTGGTGGCATTACTCCACCAAATTACTCTATTTTTCTACTTCCTTATTTGTTTAAACAGTCTTTGTAAAGGCAGCTACATTCAAGTATACAGCAGTCTTGGTGAGAAGCCCTTATACTGCAAGAGACTGAATCCGCAGAGGACGGAGGATGATTCAACCCACTTTACTCTGTAAAGCAAAGCCTATATTTGTGCTCCAGTATTATTTAAAAAAAATGTTTGGCACATGTGATAGAGCACCGCATATTATATCAACATTTGCTGGTACAACAAATAAATATGCTACTATGGATGTGTAATGGCTGTATGAAAATATGAGGAGTTAATTATACTAATATTTCTTGTCCTTTTCTCAGCTGTATACATTCTGACCTCTGCTTGTTTGTTCCTCTTGAAGGAAGGAGCAAGACCTCTGTCTTTCATTGGATAGCAGAGTGTGAGAATAGCTGGTAAACTTTTAAGATATTCTTGAGTGGTTCTATGTGTAAAGGAACAGAATGGGAATTTTGGGAGGAGAGATCAGGAGCCAGTGGTGATCTTGTGTGAGGGTGAAGGTGAGCTGCGGGAAGCAGACACAAGTAGGTGGTGATGCTCAGGAGCAACTTCACATTGTGGGAGGAAAAATCGAAAGATAACCACTCTTTTCCTACCTATCAGTCCGAAAACACTCCTGCAAGGCAAAGGAAACCTTTTTGCTGTGAGCCAGGCAAGGCTACAGATTTACACAAGCTCTTGGATCATTGGGTATTTGCCAACTAATTTGCTAACTCTGTCAAACTACAGAGGCCCAGTTGAGAGGAGGAGGCAAAGAATAGCCTGCTGGTTCCGTGGCTCCACATCTCCTAGCTCTGAGCTGCTTCTTGTCTCCTTCCTGAAGAGCCAAACCAGCTTCTAAAACTGCGGATTTGCTAGATCTAGCTCAAGTTCACTTTTCCTGGCGTTTGCAGGCAAGCTAAGCAGTAATTTAGCATTTAGGATATTTACTGAAAGTGGAGAAGAGAGGAGCCCATTCACAGATCTGTTCATCTTCTCATCCAGTCCTCACTTTGGTGCATTCATTCCCTCTAGAAAAATCACATGTACAAAAAAATCACCTGTGCTGTGTGCTTTTTCCTTAACAGCCGTGCTGCAGATTACAACTCAGAGAGGCGCATTATCGTCTGCAAGGCAGAAGGTTGCAATCATCCTGTGTTTACCTGGCTTTGGTCGTGCCTCTCGGACTAAGGCTGTGATAGCCAGGGCAGGGGTCAGCTCCAGGGAAGCCGTAAGTGCACTTAGCAGTTCCTGTGCTCTCCAGCCTCTCGGGCAAAGAAGGAAGCAACTGCTCATTTTCTCCTCAGGACTTTTCCCTTTAGGCATGGGCAAAAGGAAAGTATAGCCTTTTAAAATGCCTCCTGATACCCATCAGGGGTTTGCTTTCACTGTAACCTGGAATTTACTGTCTGGTTTTTCTCTTTTTTTTTTTTTTTTTCCTGTTGTTCTTCAGAGCAAACCCTGTGCTAAGGCAGCTGGGTGGGAAGGTGTCTTGCTGTTTTTGTTTTGACTTGAAAATCAGAGGATTACTCTTTGAATGCAACTTTCCAAGCAAAGATGTGAACGTTGAGGTTTTTATTAATGAACTGACACCTCCTGTGAATGACTTCTTCACCCTGGGGTGCTCACCTCCTGTTTTGTGGCAGGAAGAGCACTTACGGCTGATGAAAGGCTAGAAAGATCCCTCTGGGACAGCTTAAGAGTGCCTAGGTTTGCCATATACAGAGGTTTACTTCAGGGCATTTGAAAAATGCCTCATTAGCAGTTGATGACTTAGCAGGGCAGCTCTTGTTGCGAAAACCTAGAGCTGCCCCTTGCCAGGAGCTCAGGGTGGCTCTTCTCCCTTTCATTCCTTGGTTCCGAGCGCTTTCCCTTGATGCTCACCAGCAGTAGGTTATCTGAGTCACCGCAGGCAGCCTCTCACTCACAGTATTACAGTGTTTGCTTACCAGGCTGGCTCTCTCTGCTTTGCCAAATACCCCACGTTTTAAGCGTCAGGATGGGTGTCCAGCAATTCCTGCCCTTCCTGCCGTTCTCCTTCCCAGCCCTGCCACGCTCTGCACTTGTCCTTTCTCACCTGCTACAGCCACCTTCCTTTGTGGCTGCCCTTACCTTGACTGATACCACAGCAAAACCGTAACTCCTGTGTAAAGACTGGAGCAGCCGTGCCAGTATTTCAGGAATCTTTTCGATTACCTCTGGATTTGCTGCCTTTTTCTGCTCGCTGCCTTTTTCTGCTCGCTGCCTGCTGTGATGTGGCAGTTTCTCTTTCCAGGCAGTGTGTGACCATACTAGATGTTGCATTAAGTGCAGCTTTCCTCTCATTTCTTCTGTACCTCTTGATGTATCCATTGGAACCAGCTTGGTGTCTAAGCAGACTTTGCTTTTCTGTTAAAGTCCCTGTTATTATTGCTGCCTTTCATTCCATGTGTCTCATTTATTTGTCTGCTTTCCCTGAGTCGGAGAGGATGAGTGTTTTTGTGGGTGCTTTGCTATGCCCCAAACAGCCAGCAGTCAGCGGAGAGAGAGAAACCTTACTGTCTCTTGCTCCGTGTTGCTCTCAGGCACTCCTGTTTGCTGCACTCCTGTGGTGCAGCAGCGCGTCCGTTGCCAGCTACTTTGCCTGCCATCTTCTCCTCTGGGAGTCTTTGAGAGGCTCCTATGTTTAGTCCTGAGCTGATGTTACCTGGGCTGCTTCCAAGAACAACACAGAACTGCTTCCTCTATTCCTAAAACTGACACAGAGAATGAAAACTACAGCAGGATTATTTTTAGTTCTGTAGAAGTGCAGCTAAAGCAGCATTGTTACACTCTGCCTGGCCAGAATTTGCTGTTTCAAATTGTCCCTGATAGGTGGGGAGTGTGTGTGCGTGGTAGATGGCAGTTTAAAGAGCGTCTATCTGCTGTTCCTTGACGCTTACGTTACAATTTTGGATTGGACTGTCAATGCGAATGAGTCTGAAGTCCGAGATTAGTTTCCAGTAAATGTTGATCTCGAAACCACTCAGTTAAGGAACAGGAAGAAAAGTGCAGATCACGGCTGAGCTGCAGTCGCCGAGCTGGGTACGTGCAGGCAGCCCCTGAAGAGCAGAGCTGCTGCAGTTTGAGACCACAGTGGATTTGGCAGAGCTGGGACATGCTTGTCACTGCAATAGGAGGAAGAGCTGCAGCTCCTGCCTGGGCTGTGTCACACTGGTGGGGACCGGAGGAGAAGCTTCCTGCCTGCTTTGTGTTCAGTTACTCTGCACTCCGTAAACAGTGTGATACACCTGAGCATTTCTAACGGGCAGGATATCCTATGCGCTGTACACTCTCAAGGTGTTTGTATTAAAACATGAAATGCAAATGAGAACTTTTATTGACCAGTTCCATTATATCTGCTGTAGCCCCCTCATGGACACCTGCCTGCTTTTCCACGTTGATTCACTTTCAGCGATCTGGTACCCACAGTATCTCTCAGCAGTCTCTGTGATTTGAAAGAAAGGGAAGTGCTTGTGTTCTTGCCCCAGAAACGCAAGTGTTGACCCCACTTTCTTGTTACCAGCATCTTATGGCAGTGTTTTCTGGATGGCATGCTCTTGGGTTGCATCCTTTCAGGCTGATGCCTCTTTGCTGACCTGTGAGGGAGCAGTGCTCTGGGCTCTGTGTGCTTCCTTCAAGTCCAAATGCCTCCCTCACATGGTCGTACAGTTCAGCACTTAAAACTCTAGTGCTTTCTCTTGCAAAAGGAGGAGTTGATGCTGGAGTTGTCTCTCCTCCTGGACTGATCCATGGCCTAGCACTGTAGTCTGGTGGCGTCTCTATCGAATTAGCCACAGAGGCAAAATTCATAACCAAAAATTCGTAACAAGCAGTTGTGGAAATTGGACCACTCTTGTTTAGAATTGCAGATATTCTACTACTTAGTTGTTATTACTGTTAGCAAAATCCATCCTGCATCATTAAAATTCTACCATAACTGTCTGTGTTCTGTTGTCTCTACGAGCTGATACTGGTTCAAGCCTGCGTAACCTCGGACCTGAGCAGCCTCCCTTTGTATTGTCCTCAGCCTCTGCTGATTAGAATCTTGTTTCGCAGAAATGACTTGGTATTGTGCTTTGATAAAGCATTTATCCGGCACAGTCAGGACTGGTTTGTTTACCTGATATTATCTAAGTGCTCTAATTCCAGCCAGCAGTCTAAAGTTCACAGGAGGGAAGATGATTTCAGGAAAATGGAGAATCAGACTGGCGATGATGAGTGCGAAGCATTCACGGTAGGGTGCTCAGTCAGCCACCAGGAAAAAGCCTAAAAAGAAAATAGGAAAGCACTAAACAGTTTGTTTTTCTGGCACCTCAGGATGAGATGACCTCAAGTTTGGGCCTTACCACAAAGAAAGCCCTCACGATCCTGAGAGACCAGTTGTCGGCACTGCTGGAGGGGCATCAGAAAGAACGGAAAAAAGTGACTTCATGGAAGGTGAGGCACCAAACAGCACAAGGTTTGGCACTCAGTCTCCCCTTCTCAAAGTAAAGCTGAAGACTAAACAAAAGTTGGCTGCATTCCCTCCCGGACTGCTGCTGCAGAGTGTCCCGGTGTAGAACTGCTAAGGTCCTTGGGAACAAAGCAAGGAGTCTGCCTAAGGGTATGTTTCTCTCAGCATTTCTCTTCTGGATGTTGGAGCTCTACAGGAGCTTAGCTTCACCTGTGAAGGATCTAAGGGCTTCAAGAGCCAGTAACGGCAGCGTGCCTAGGGGTCCGTATAGGTGGAGAGAAAGAACTGTGAAGCTCAACAGTCTCCCCTTGTCCACCATGTTTGCCTGGGGTGTGTGTTGAATACAGAGTGCTGGTGTTTATGCATGGTACTTACCAGTGTTCCTTGCTCGGTTAGTGACAATGGGGCAGCCTGGCACAGAAGCCTCTTCATTCTTCCAAGCCAGAGTAAGGCAGAGAGTGTTCACCCATACTAGCCAGCTGAGCAACTGTCAGTGCTGTAGCAGTCACATAACTGATCTGGGATGCTCTGTATCGTATTCAGGGATTTTACAAAGTTGTGTTCACCCTGGAGCGTCAACTGCTGCCTTCACCCTTTCTCACTCTGCTTTTTCAAATGTCTGGCTCTGTATTTCATGAATGGTGAATGTTTGCTGCTCTCCTTTTGTAGGAGGTGTGGAGGAGCAGTTTTCTGTACCATGGTAACCGTTGCTCCTGTTTCCACTGGCCTGGTGCATCTCTGATGCTTCTGGCAGTGCTGTTGCTGCTGTGCTGCTATGGGAGCCAGCCACAGGGGAGGTAAGCAGAACATCCTGTGGTGGTGAACTGAAGCAAGGTGGTAGTTTTATATCATCTCAACACTGTGTGTGGCTGACATAACAGTGTTGTCCCTCATTCTGTTTAGACATCTAGACCTTAGCATACTTACACTGGTAATTCTGTCCCTATCAGTCCCTTTCACAAAACTTCAGCCAACTTAATTCTACTTTTAATAGACCCATAGAGTATCCTATGGAGAGATGGGGAATTTTTTTCTACAGCACTCCTAGATCTTGAAAAATCCTAAGGCATTATCAGAGTTAAGAAGGATTTTGAAACTGGAGAAGTTAGTGGCTCATAGAAGTTACTGTGCTGTCATCTGTGCATGCCTTAACTGTATTTGTAAGGGTACCTTTTAATTGAAACGGGTTCTTTCAGACTTCTCTGGTGGCATTATTCTGAAGCAGCGTGAGCATAGCTCCCCTGCTTTGCTTTTTTAGCCATAAGTTTGTGGGATGTAGGAATAAACAACCGAGCAGGTGTGCATTTATCTCTGTGGGTGGCTGGCGGTGTATTCTGCTCATTTACTCAAACCTCATCTGCTTTCTGCTTTCTTCTGTTTTGCTGTGCAAAGCCAAGGTGCTGAGATAGTTAATGCAGTGGCACTCTTCCTCCTTCTCCTCTTGGATCTCTTCATGATTGGGCGTCAAGAGAGGCTGAAGTGCAGAGAGGTGGAGAGGAGACTTCAGACAATTATTGATAAGATAAATGGTGAGGTCTTATTCATCTGTCTCTCGTTCGTGTTTGTGTTTTCCTCCCATTGGATTTTTCTCAAAACCTGGTCACATACATTACTAATTGAGCTTACTAGCCTTCCCCTGTGTTACACAGAAACAAGCTGTGAGAATTGTGTCCTACTCATGCCTGTCCTGTAGAATAGTTATTTTGAGCTGTCATGTGGCCATGTGCTTCCAATCTGTGTGTTATCAGGTAGGCGTCTGTTATGTCTGTGCTTTGGAGTAATTCAAATCCTCAGTATCTTACAAAAATATCTGCCTTGCAGCAGATGATGAGAGAAGAATATGTGGGGTTGTACCACAACATAGAACAGAAGGAAATAAGTTGCTCTGCGTGAGCATTGTCTCAACGGGGGCTTTTGAACCTGAGGAGGCAGTTCATTTCAGTGCAGCAGTTTTAAGGACAGCCTTTAGCTTTTCCATTGTACAAGTATGTATTTAAAGTTATAAGATGACTATATTTAGTTGTTAATACTGGGTGGAGAGAGAGGGGAAAAGCCATCAAGGAGAAACAGAGAGGTGATAAAAGATTGTGGCAACAGACTGAGCTTAGCACTGGAGGACATATAGCCACTACAGGATGTAAACGGATGTATGATTGTCCCCTCCAGAATTGTTACCACTTAATTCTTTCACACTTTGTGCTTTCAGATACTCTTGGCAAAGACGTGAAATGGCCAGACTCCATGTACCCTGACCTTCACATGCCTTATGCCCCATCCTGGTCCCTTCATTGGGCCTACAGGGATGGTCATCTTGTCAACCTGCCTGTGAGCCTGTTAGTAGAAGGAGACGTGATTGCTTTGAGGCCGGGCCAGGAGTCATTTGCTTCTCTGAGAGGGATTAAGGTAACTTCCTTGTCTTATTTCCCTGGCCTGGAACAATATATTTCCTAGGATTTTCTTGTGAATACTCTAATTCCCAGTGTACAGATTATTGTAGTGTTTGATTTCTTCTGGCCTTGAAAATAGTTTGAAATTCCAGTTCAGTCAAGGATGGTGCTTCGTTAGACAGACTGCATCTTGTCTATGAACTCCCAAACTCAATGGACAGGAGACACTAATGTGATACCAAAGCACCATATTTCCATCTCTTCCAAGTCAAGAGGGAATTGTAATGCGCTGCTAAATATAAGTGGAATGAATCTATCCAGTAGGATGGTATGACATACAACCCCCCTACTTTAGCCTTTAGAGAAATAAAGTTTGTCTGCTTTGACCTTCTCCTTACTACTGATTTGTTATGCAAGAAGATAATGTAAAATACCTAGAAGTAAATCAACAAATCAATTACAAATCAATTACAAGATCTATACAAAGATTTTGCTGCTTGAAGAAGACTGGAAAAAGTTTAAAGCTTGAAATTTACCTTTGTTGTTTTTTATCATAACTTTCACTCCAAATGCCAATTTTCATGAAATAACCAGATGTGCTTGAACACAAGCATTTCATTTTAGCTAGTTTAGCTAATGAATTTTTGAAAGCTGAGAGAAGGAACTGTGACAAACATATATTGTGTCACTTGCAGTGGGAGGGATCCTGCTGGACTAAACCTCCAGTCCCTCGCAGCAGGATTCCACCGAGGCCCCGACTGCAGACTCTGGGCTCTCTGACTTTTTTCCTAGGACGATGAGCACATAGTTCTGGAGCCAGGAGATCTGTTTCCACCTTTCTCACCACCACCCTCCCCCAGAGGAGAAGTGAAGAAGGGACCTCAGAACCCTCAGCTGTATCGTCTCTTCCGTGTCTTGAAGACCCCGATAATTGATAATGTCAGGTGGGTTAAATACAGTGCACTATGCCTGCACAGCTTGTCCATCTCCTTGTTGCTGCCCTGTGTCGGCAAAGAATGAGACTTAGCAGTCCAAGACAGGAATTTTCAAATATGCTGTGCTGTCTTCTCTATTACCTGGGAATACTATAAGTCTTTTACTTTCTGTCTTCGATTGTCCTCCTTAACTGGTAGGTTAGGCTAACACATAAAACCGCATGTATGCTGAGTACTACTGTTCAGCTTATTACTTTCCAACTAAGTTTGAATAACGCATGGAGGTCACACATTTCATGCATTTGATGTAACCAACAATTTGACACCCTTTGGTCAACTGGAGATACAGATACCTGAATGTCCCGTTAGAGTTTCAGTACACATTGGGGCGATGGAGCCTTCCTGTTAAGCGGGTGGGGAGACCTGCGGAGTTTGCTCAACAGCAATCCAAATTTACCAGGGCAAGTGCAATGCTGGTACTGTAGAACTTGGCTTCTCTTTAAAGTGTCATCCCTCATAGCGTAGAGTGAAAGCAGTGTTCTAGTCAGGTCTGCTACTGAAATCTCAAGATGTTTTCCATTTTTTAGGTGGTGTCTGGAAATGGCTTTGTCACGTCCAGTGACGGCCCTGGATAATGAGAGATTCACTGTACAGTCAGTGATGCTGAAATACGCTGTCCCTATTGTACTGGTAGGTCTCATTTTAAGCCCTTGTTGTTGAATAGAGCCATGTTTTGTCAATAAAGGTGAAGAATTTGCAGCCATCAACAGGAAGTTGTTGCCAGGCGCTAACTGATGCGGCCGACTCTGCGTGTTCCTTGGGTAGTTCAGAGAAGCAAAGATGCTGAGCCATCTAGCAGTGAGAGTGGAGGGAGGAACTGTAGCAGCAGACCAAGTGTACCTTCCAGATTTTTCAGGACTAAAAATGTTACAAGGCAGTGAAAACTCCTTCCCTAGAAGTACTAGTAGTTAGCTGACTGTCATTTCTGCTTGAATTGCAGGCTGGCTTCTTGATCACCAATGCTGTGCGCTTCATTTTCAAAGCTCCTGGAATTGCTTCTTGGCAATACACTCTTCTTCAGCTACAGGTAAAGGACAGCTTTGAGCTCCACTGCGCCTCCTCCCCAGAGCACCACTGAGACTGATTCCCTCCCTCAGCAACTTGCTTCATCCTGTGACAGCATCCTGTGCATGCCCTTGTGTATGCTGGATCCAGGAGCTCTCAGTGGAGCAGGACAGCAGCTCTACTCTGACCATTCCTCTTAGACTGCCCTTTACGTTGTTTGCTCTCTCTCACTTGCCATCTATGTATATATATGTGTGTGTGTGTATATCTATCTATGTGGTATCCTTTGCCTTTAAACTTGTGAGAGTTTATGCCAAATTCAGCA